TCTGGGGAGTGAGCTTCTATCACGCACTCCAAGTTTTTATTGTATGAACATCAAACAATGTATGTGTTGATTGTGTTTCTTAAACTTGGGTTCTGAAAGACTTTGGAATCTGTCCCTCTTTCCTTTGTGATAATCTCAGGATGTAACCAAAACTCTTTTGAATAAGAAGGTAACTTGGAAAGGATATATTGACCTAGCCCAGTGCATACTGGCTGCTACCCCTTTGAGAATAAGGCTCCTTTCAGCTGGTTGCTGTTTGTACACCTGAAATTGCAGCTTATCTGTGCAAAAGTAAGCCACTCTGTTTTAACAACTGACGGAAAACATAAAATCAATTGGATATCCTGTACAGAACATTGGGGGATTTTTTTAGTGTTATCAAGTTTATGCCATATCAGTGATCTGAAATTACTGTTGAGCCAATAGCGCTTATTATAGGAAGAATGAAGCCTGTGATAATTTTTTATATGATTATTTGGTTTACTGTAAGCTACATTATACTTTGTCTAATTGTTTCTTTCCTTGAGTTCAGATTGCAGTGTTTCATACCTACTTTGCATGACCAGAAATGACCTGTCACACATGTGACACGTGACAAAACAACCAAAAGCCAAACTCAAAATTTTATAAACCCTGAAGAAGTGTTTTTAGCCTCCTCCTAATTTGTTGTGGTTCTGCAGTTAAAAATCTTACTTATTATACCTAAAAGATGGGTTTCATAAGCTAATTTAAAGCTGAAATGTGACTTGTCTTCTGTGTGTCACACAGAAGAATGTACTATCTCTTAAAAATTAATTTATCTTGTTTCTTAGAACTGCTTTGCAGCTGTGCTGCAGAGATAACTGTGTCAAACACACCTCCTCTTTTCAAAAGAAAGCAAGCAAACAGCTGGGAGTGATCCCCCAAACCATTATTCATTGTACAATGCCCAGAAAGTCACACACGGAGATGCGAATATCTCTCTCGCATCCAGGGCTGCCCTACACACGTAGGACAACTGACTTCCTTACAATAGCAATTGGAAAACTGGAACTTCTGCACTTGTGTGCTTGTTCCTAATCAGTTAGTGTGAACTCAGAATCTCAGAACAAACTCAGAACAAGATAGCTCACAAATACAGCAAAAATGTGGATTTATGATGCGCATTATCGGTTTTTGTCTTTTTTACACGGAAAATCCCTCCCTTTTCCTCCATCTCTGTATTCTCCTCAAGCCAAGCTGATTAGAAACAGCCTGTACTAATATCTTAGAACACACACACTCTCTCAAGTGATATGATCTTTGTCAGAGAGATTGACAGTTGATTAGTTAATGCTCTTAAAGTTCCAAATTTAAATGAAAAATGTCGATGTTTTGAAATGAAACTGGCAAATTAAAAATCTGAGGTTCAGAAACATAAAATAAAGCACACTGAAAAATCCACATGCTGTGATTTTACCAGGAGTGAAAACTTACTTTTACTCTAGAGAATACAGACTTCTCATAGTTCAAATAATAGAAAAAAAAAGAGTGCTTTACTGGCATTTTTAGGTCATGCTTCAATACATACTGAAATATTCTCTTTTATTCCAGAGTTGTTCCAGATTGAATTATTTTCATATTTCTTCCAGCAAATTCTTTAATGGAGTTTTGAACTCTCATTAGAGAGATGATTTATTTTCTCCTTTCAGTTGTGTAAAGCTGCTAGAGCTGTGTGGTTATATTGGGAGCTAACTGGGTGGCAGATGTACAGAGGTATAATTAATACAAACCAAATGCAAATCTACTGTAAGAATTATATTTGCACTTAATCTAATATATATTCATAGCACAAGTGAGGGGATGACTTCTTACTCTTTCACCTTCAGAGTTTAAACTAATAAAGTTCACTATGCAGGAAAAGGACAACAGTGACTATAGAACTCAGTAACATAAATGAAGGAGAATCTGCTTTCTTTTTTGCACATAAAATGTTGGGATTTTTTTTTTTTTTTTAAAAAGAGAAGGTGGCTAGTATTACAAGTGCTGCAATGTGTGTATGTAGCAGCTTCCCAAGTGAGTCATCAGCTGTGTTTGGATCCAGACTTTCAATTTTGCCGCACAGACTCCACTGACTTAAAGGAAAGGATTTCCTACATTAGCTGGCAGAAACAGTAGGTTTTTATATTCTAAGGATCACCTACTTGAGAAAAAGAACTAACACTGAGTTGCAGCTTCAGGAGTTTCTTTGCAGTTAAATTTGACAAAGCCTGTCATGAGGTGCTGTGGCTGCCTGGTTCAAGGGAGAAATGGACAGACTGGTTTCACCTCTCATTCTGCAGAAGATGCAGCCTCTGGCTCCCCATTTGCTCCTCACTAATAAATGCTGCAAACTGCATGGCTTCACCACAGGGAGCTGAATTACTCACACAATTCAGATTCCTGTGTGTCAGGTCCAGTATGAAGTGCTACCTGGACCTGAAATACAGAGTAAAAGGATCTTTTCCCTGTCCTTAGAATTATCTATCTAGATGTCATTGGACATGTCATTAGATGCCTATCTGCATTTCACAACACCTTTTAGTTTTAAGAAGTCTGTATTTCAACATCTTTTTTGCCTGTGAAGAGAATCTAGAATAAAGATAAATCGAGTGTAACTATTACAGAGGGAGTTTAGTTCTGTACGGATTCTGAAATAGAGGAGAATTTGGTTACTTTTGACAGATATTGAAAAATATGATCTTGACTTAGTTAAAAATAATATCAAACCAGTTTTGGAAAAGAAACCTAGATGTGTTTTTGCAAGCCTTTTTTTTCTTTTTTCCATTTATACTGATTTTTGTGTACATGATTTTCTGTATGAAAGATCAAAATGGAACAAAAGATTGACATAAGTGAAGATGTCAGTCCATTAATATGAAGATGTCAGATGGCAAAAATCCCAAGCCACTTTCTGAATAATTTTATTGAGCTTGGAACTATTCTGTTCATCTCAGTGGAGTTTTAGTAATTTCATGTTAATTTTGTTCATTTTTTTTCCCTGTAAGAAAGGGTAGGATTGAGGATCTGTGCAATTTGTTGAGACTGATATCTCATTTTGCCTGTCAGTCAGCAGTGGGCTTTGTTCCCAGTGGAGGTCAGCTGTGAGAAAGCAGAATGCCCGCAGATACACCCTCATCCTCGGCCGTCATTCCCCAGCCTGGGGGCTCTCAGGTGCCTCCTGAGATAACTGTAATGGAATCTGGTCCCACATATTCAGTAGATGGACTCAAAATGAACCATAGCAGCTAGTTACAATTTTCCCATTCGTTGGTCCTAGCTATATTTCTTGCTGATAGCCAGTGCCAGTACATGTTCTCCTGTAATGTACTATGCAAACATAAAATTACACAGTTAAATAGTCAAAAGTCAGGGTGTGAAAGCAGAGTGATACCTTCACTCAAATACCATTACCCCAGAGTTTAGCCATTTCTTCATGCTTCTTAATCATACTTGGCTCAGATGGATTAAAGGCACATTTCCCTTTGCATGGAAGTCTCGTGGAATTTTCTGTGAAACAGGCTGATTTATCTCATTCAATTTATGCCTGTTTCCTTTGGGGACACATATCACTGTCTGGAAGGGGAGAGTCCATCTGTGCCTATAGGGATCAGTCACATGGGTGCAATTAGTCTGTAACAGTTCATAGCCTCAGATCAGTTCTGTATGAGAGTTTTTTTCACAGCTGCCTCTGACCTGCTTGTATGAATTCAGAGTCACACGAGTTATCAAAAATTTCCTTGCAAAGTATGAATTTTAGCTGCTGGACAGAAATAAGTGTTTGTATGTCCATTTCAGGGTATTTCTCCTAAGAGATTTGCATGGTGACAAGAACACTTTTTCTCAGCTGCAAATGCGATCCACTTTTAAAGTGTAACGCTTTTATAATCCTGGGCTAGGAACAAATTCATCAGAAAGCTAGAATTATTTTCAATTCTTATAATTACCGCTTTACATATTGTAAGTATGTTGATTTTTCTTTTCTTTTGAGAGGCTGAAAAAATAGCAAAAGCCTACTCTTCACTTCTTAATAGTGTTTGAATGGATGGATACTTCAGACTGTGCTGTTATTGTCATGTATTACAGACCATTTTTATTGGAAAAAAACATTACCTACGCAAGCAAAATTTCCCCACATTATCACAGCTTTACAGGGTGATTTGATGCATTTAAAGGGGCTGTTTTAGGCTGCTAGAATAGATGAGTATGTGGTCTGACACAGTTTGGTCATTTTGATGTCCAGATATAAACAACTGAGATGACTGGGGGAACAAGTCCACCCTTAACCTTAAAGTACAGACTGTTTTCATTTTTCAAACCAAAAGGCATCAGATCTATGGTATCAAAGCATACTGACTTACTTGCTGCATGTTCTGCTCTATGTTCTTACGGTATGTTGTCAACATACTCTGTACTAAGGAAATGACAATGGATACTGGTCCTGTACGTACTCTGTACAGTGCCCATTTACACCAGGTGATGCAATCTTGCCTCTTTGCTCTCTTGCATAGCAATAGAGGCATTCCACGCTATTGTTTTCAGAAAAAAATAAGCCATATATAATACACTGATAAGACTTTTCCACATGGTTATAAATAAAAGTGCTGTTTTGCTTCCTTGTCACAGAATTTAATTAACTTATGCATCTGTGTCCACAGAACCAGTTTGTCCACTTGTTTGGTTAGTCACTAGTTCAAAAACCCATGCAGAGGCTTGCAACCCAGTGCAGCCTTGCCATAAGCCAGTATCTCTAGTCTGCAGAGAGTCCAGTCTGTTTGAAGAAAAATGGTCTTTTTATTTTTTTCAACAAAAAGATATGTTACTGAGGTGAAAACTAAATTATACACACCATGCAGCAATTTTATTGCAAAGAAGTTTTTAGATGCGTATCCTGTGGTCTGCATGTGCCTACAAAGGGGTATGTTAATGGAAAATATATGAGCAATGCAAGGAAAATACCTGCAAACAAAATTAATTCTTAATGTGAAATGTTAGGAAAATAAAAAAAAAAAACAGAACTCATTTAAAAAACTGAAGGTGTTGTCCCCTGGTGCTCCTTCCAAACAAAGAAATAAAATTATTAAGAGAAACACAGAAGGGGCTTTTATTGTTAGTATTACTTTTTCTTAATTACAGTTTACTTCAGTAAACTGACAAAAAAAGAAAAGCTACACATCTGAAAAACATCCAGCTATAGCCTTGAATTATGCAAGAGCTTCAGGAAAGGAGTCCAGGCGTGTGACTGTTAGTGATGATGAGAAATAAGAGGAAAAGGGCTGCTCTTGTCCCTTTAGAACCCCACTTAAGGGCTGTATGTCCATGTGAGGGCATCTCCTATGCTGCTGCTCACCAAGAGTGTGGTAATCACGGGAGAACCTTGATCTCTCTCTCAACAGAAGTGAGTTTTCTGTGGCCTTTTTGTTTAATTAATCAGTTATTTGAATTACTCAACAGTGATCTGAAGTATCACTGCAGTGGCAAAAATTGCTTTGATTGACTTTGCTTTTCGTTCTCATTTGACCCACTCTCCTTTTTTTTCTCTAGAAGGCTGCGTTGGGTTCATCATGCAAAGGGATGGAGGCTGCAACAAAAGGCCGAGAAGCACCAGTGAAAATAAATAGTGAGAAGTAAACTTTTCAGTGTATTTTGCCCCTGCCTAGCACTTCTGACAGGTAAAGTCTTCCTCATTCCTGTGATGGAGTGACTTCCTGTATTTCCTGTGACTTCCACTGGTGTAAAACTAGTTTTACACCTGACTGCTTATATCTCTGCACAGCTGGTGAAAGACATACCAGGTTCTGAGCATTTTACATGTCTACAGTGAGAGCAGACATTCATCCATATAATAGCTACATGCTTTGTCCATATAAAGGTAGTTTAGGATTTTTGTTGTTTGACACTATTGCCATTGAGCTACACAGTTCTTAAAATTTATTACATCCACCACTCCATAAAGCAGCAATTGATAAAAAGGGAAACAGTTATTTCTATTTAAGCATAAAGAGGAAAAATATATACCTGAAAAACTTTAGTATCTTAACTTCTTCTCAGTTGTTTACCAGGAGTGATCTGGCCTTAAGGTTTAAAGTCTGAAATACTGTGAAAAAAATTAAAATATTATTTTTTTACAAAACACTCTGCCTTTCCTATCTTCTCCCAGCTATGTATTTTTAACTTTTATTTTACTGAAATCTCAATTATGAAATTTATTCTATCTAACAATAGGTTTTGCAAGTAGGTCAGTCCTTTTTCATATCCTATTGCTACTGCCATATTCTAGGCAGTTGTGTAGATATTTTAGTATGCTCAAGTGGACATAAATTATGTTGAAGGACATTCATGGTTGTTTTGGGGTGTGCACTGGAGCCAAAGCAGTATTGGTATGGAAAATCATTGAAACAGTGATGCCTCAACCTTGTAAGTCTCCATGGCAACTTAAAAAAATAATGACAGCTGTACCAAGAAATTTGCTAATAGAAGGCCTTAACACATTTGTCTAGACTCAGTGATACTTCATACTCATTATAACCTTTAGAAGGATTGTAAGTAAATTAAAATTAGAGAAAAAAATAGGGAATATCTGCTTCTTCTAGAATTTCACACTGGCTTCATTTAAGTTACCTGACACTGTCTATTGCAAATATAACCATAACAGTGAAATTTAAAAATATTTAATAACAGAGATCAATTGCAACTCATTTGATTCTAATATACACAGCATTTCATTTATTATGTGCTATATACACAGTGGAAGTTTCTCAATAATTAGCATAAAGCTAAATTTTCTGAAAAAAAATAGGAAGATTCCCATGTTGATAATGTTAAAATTATTGTCTGTAGCAATGATGAGAAAATTGCATGAAAAATGCAACAGTATGAGAGAGATTCTGTTTTAAAATGGCCTCGCTCAAGTTCAAATTACAGGCCATGGATAAAAAAAGAGAAGGATTCTGTAGGATCAAAGCACAAGAGAGTTTGCTAGCTTTGGTCTGCTGGAAATGCACAAACACACTAGAGAATAAGAAAATTGGCTGTGCAGCCATTAAGCTACAATATGTAGCAAGAACAAATATTTTTATGGGTAGGCCAATCAGTTTGAAAGATGTGATATAAGTTGATGATTTTAAGGCAGCCTTTGCATTTTTAAAATTTTATATATAACAATTTCCTATATACACAAAAATTGTTTCTAATGGGGCAGAACTCTATTCAAGACCTTACGAAGTGAAGAGTTAATCACAAAACTGAAAAAAAAGATGAAACTGATTTTATCTTGATTACATTTTTATTGTGAGTTCTGCCAAGAATACATATTCTCAGGGGGTTGAAAAGGACAATTTAATAAAGCTGAAAATAATATTGAGACAATCAACTGGAGAAAATGTAAACAGAAACATGAGAAAGATAATTGTCCATTGTTGAATAACATTATACTAGATGCCCAATTTCACATTTCAGAATGATGTTGTTGCAGTGACTTAAGGAAAGAACAGGTCAAAATAAAATAAAAAACATTTCTAAAACATAGTGAAAAATAAAAAAAAAAGAAAAGCCGGAACAATAATAGTAACAAGTCTCTTGGATTTTGGGAAGTAGATAGTGGAAGCAAAATGTTAAAGACAAATATCAATGGCTCTCAGATCCAAGAATGGGAAGGCAGAGAAAGGAGTCCCCAGTTGTATCAGGAATCCAAATAACATTATTGCTCCTTGACTATATGATGATAGCAGAACTGGCAAGAATTCATGAAAAGCAGAATCTCAGTCTCTTGGAGTCTGCATTTGGGGAAAGCCAGATGATAGAGTCATATGACATGATGATGCAGTCCTTTTAATTCTAACCAGTTACACAGTAGTTTGTTTAGGTTAGACATTTTAAAATCTGCATGTCTAATTAACTTTCATCTGATAATTTTAAAAGAACTAGCAAAAGACCCTCATAGGCACTTTATTTTGGTGATTACAGGGTTGAAACATGGGAATATTCAAGTCAGGAAACATTTAAATGGCACCAATATTTAAAAATTATAATAGGACTAACTCAGGAAATTACAGGCCTATCAAGATGAGATTGCTTAAACACTTAATGTCCATCAACATTATTTTCACAAAAATAATTTTTGTCAGGCTAATTTGATCCCATCTTTTGATAAGATTACAAGCTCTTTTCAATCAGGATAGTATTGTTGATGGAACAGTTTTTAAAGGACATGTTCTCACTCACGGCTGAAGACATTTTGTTAAGAAAATAAAGAAATAGAAAATCAACTTAACACCTATGAATTTTATTAAAAATATAATATAAGTACATTTAAGTATAATTGCAAATAAGGAACCATCATGGTAAGGATTTGGCTCTCATGAGGTTCATCTCCCTCACACCTTGTCTTTCTTAATGATACAAGAAAACATGACATTTCCTTCAAGAAGTTTTCTTATACCACCAAAACCAGTGGAGGATTAAATGATAAATAAGGCTGGTGAATGACAGAGCAATCCGACTTTCTTTACAAAATGGAAATTCTTTTGGAAGCCTGTACAGTGAGGAACAGTGTGAGCCACACTTGTAGGATGGAAAAGACTCCATGCTGGGAAATGGGGACTGAAAGGGATTTGATTTTATAATGGATAATCAGATACACGTGGAGCTCCTGCGGTGCGCCACGGCCAAAGTGCTAAAATGATCATTGGACTATAATGAGGAGAATATGAATAAAAGCAGAGAGCTTGCATTATTCAGGTGAGGATTTACTGTGAGGGAAAAGGGAAAGTGCTACACACACCATAGCCCCTTGGCAAAGGAAGTATGGGGCTTTGTGCCTCTGCTAGAGGAGAAAGGGAGGCACTTCTCAGCTGCTCCTGAGTGCCACAGCTTGCTGGGGTCCAGCAGCCTGCCACTGTGCTTCATCACTGCTCCTCCTGCCCTGTGGAAAAGAATTTTGGTCCTCCTTCTAATTTATTTTTTTTTAAAACATTCTTATTTGGCTTTTGTGAGAAAGAAGGGTTTGATAGCAACTCTGGTTGAGCTGAAAGGAAAATATGCTGAAAATGTGGGACTACAGTTCAAAGTCTTGAGTTACTAAAGAATAGAAAAATGGTACAAAGGGCATCTCTGATTTCTCTGGAAAAGACTAGCAAAATCCATTGCCTGGAATTAGAGAAATTTAGACTTGAAGTAATTTACCTCAGAGAAAGGAACTGACCACTGGAAAAACTTACTGTAGCCTGCATTGGACTTTGTCCGAAAGAAAATTTGAAACCATGATCATTTTTTATTCTGGCTTAGCTGCACTATTGGTCCTGATACAGAAATTAATTTAGGGTAGATGTGTGATATAAGTTGTCACATTAAATAATCAACAGAATCCTTCTGATATTAATATATATATTTCAGTCAAAAATATGAAACAAACGTTATTCTGTTGAGATGATTTGCAATAAGGGCTTAGTGATGTTTTTTAAAAATGTGCTTTGCAAATAATTTTAATTTATGAGCTAAATAACAGACATACAAGACATGAAATCTTTAAATTCTCCACTAAGTAATAAAAGATTGATTTTTGTATTTGACATAAAGGACAGAAATTCACCTAGATCACAAGATCTGGTCTTTTGTATCTAAATAAGGATGTTCAGATACTCCCATTTCTGTCCACATAGGAAGAGGAAAGCACAAATCACTGCAGTTCTGGAGGTTAATTCTGCAAGTCAGGAGGCTGTGTCCTGCTGTGGGAACACAGCCCACACCCCCAGGCTGCCCGTGGGCCACCCTTGTACTCTTGCATAGGTCATGAAGGAGATGTGTTTGGGCTGGCCTTGGTGACAAGGGGAGGAGGCAACAGAGGGGCTGGAGTAAGGGCATATATAAGAGACTGCTGCCACCACTGTGATGTTAGAAAATCTTCTCTATACTTATTTCATACAAAAGATTTCTTTATTTGTAGAGTTTGCAAGGTTTTGGTTATTTTGTTTTTGGCCTGTTCTACTTAAAATTACATATTACCTCAAGCCATTTTGTTTCTTCTTTCTCTTTGTACCTGCTGGCACCAGTTTCACCTCATATGCCAGTCATCACTGTACATGAATAATGTAACTTGCCTTTGAGTATTGCAGCTGATTCAGCCATCCACTCCTCTGCCCCACTTCCCTTCCTGCTTGAAGTGATTCAGGCCTTCACCTGTGGCCTTCACCAAGAAGTTAACAAAAAAAGGAAGAAACATTTTAAAACTCACCAACACACCTTGCTTCTTGTACAGTCGGTCATTTGGTCTGTGTTACAGGTATGCTGTCTGCACTATCAGTGAAATGACAAAAACTGTGCCTTCTTGTATGTTCTTTGCCAGCAAAAATTTCCAAGATGATCTGTGCAGTTTGTGAACAACACCTCTGCTAAAAATAAACCAAACTGAAGTGACTAGGGAACAGGATGGAGTGGATTTCAGTGGGCTGGGGAGTGGTGCCATGTTCCTTGGGAGGAATCACTGCTGCATGTTGCCCTAGAAAGATCAATGTCCCAAAAGACGAGCATACTGCTGATGTAAATGGAAAAGGACAGGTCTCTTGTCTTCTTCAGCCAACTGATAGCAATCATGTTAATCTAAACACCCGAGTCCCTTCAGAGGTTGCCTCAGAAAACATACCATATCTTTGTTTCATTCTCCAGGTTTTAATCTTTTTGCCCCCTTTTTTATTTTTTTTAGATTAGTACCCACTGACCCTCTGAAATATCTGTATAGTTCTCCTGCTTACCCTCTGCCTCTGACACATTTCTATAAAGATGCAGCCTCAGCATTACTTAGCTTTTAAATGTGTTTGAGTGTGTACTATCTACATCTGGAATGAGGGGCTGTATTAAAAATAAAATAATTATAAAAATAAAATGAAATGTCCTCACATGGAAAGCATTTGGAAAGGAAAATACCAGAGTAAAAATGGAAAAATAAGTACGTGTCAGGCCAGCTGCAGGTTAGGAGCAGCTCTCTGGGAAGCCAGTGGGATTTGCTGGTGCCCTGCATGGGAAGGCAGAGACCAAGCAAGCACAGTTGCCCTGCAGCACTCTGGTGACCAGGACTTCAGTTATGCCTGCAGGAAGACTTTAACCTCGCTGGCCTCAGGAGTATTTCTCAGAAGCTAAAGACGTCAACTTTAGCAAGACTGTGCCCAAAGATAGTAATGGCCGAAAGGGAAATCCCTGGGGCAGGCTGCAGGAAGCTTTTGAGGGTACTTGCGCCAGCAGATATCTGGGGCATGGGCATAAGGAAGGGCAGTTCCCCTAACAGTCAAATTCATATATTGAACCCTTCTCAATTCATGCCTGCGCAAAGGATAAAGAGACTCTATGCTGCAAACAAAGACATCATACACTGAATTATTTGTCAGCTGCTAAATTAAGAAAGGATTTTAATACTTTGCTTTGAGATTTACTCACATGATTAAAGTTAGGCATGATTTTAAGAACCTCAGAAGATCAGGCACCTGATAAACTCCCTGCTTCAGGTTAAAATAAATTACATTATAAAAGCATGTTTCTTGAAAAAAAAACCACAAGGAAGAGATATTATAGCAACAAAAATTTGTCTTAAGAATTATTAAATTGTTTGGTCTTTCAATAATTGAAAAGGCTTCATTACCATGCAAACAAAAAACAGGTTGGCTATTCACCTTTTGGAAGATGGCATTTGCATTGCTATAATAGGAGAGAAGAACCTTCGAAAACTAATGAAGGAGCATAAAAATGCAAATTACTGCAGCTAATTGGCTGTGCCTTCTTACACCTTCTGAATTATTTATTTATGACTGAGTAAATCTGCCCCTTTTAAATAATATAATAAAGAACAACATTGTGTTCTATGATGTTGAGTGGATAGTGTTTGTTCCCTTAATTTTATGGTGAGTTGCTCTTGTTTGCACTAGCAAGATGCGTGCAGTGCTCTGTATAACTCTGCAGGTCCAACATTCTTCCCATGCAGACTGACACCATTTTATTTCCTTTTTCTAATTCCTGACTGGGAAAAAACAAGACAAAAGATGATGCCATTATTACAATAATGCTAATTACATCTTTATTGCCACTGGCAGTAAAGTTTAATCATAAAGCAGGCTCAGAATTCTGCAGAGACCTATTTACATGCCAATATGTGAGTAATTCCATCCAGTTCAGTGTAACTTAGAGTTGGTTGCTGCCCAGGGTGTTGAAGAAATCAAAATAAAATATTTGATAACAGGGATTGATATATGCACATTTTTCCCCAAATATTATTTCTTCTCCCACAAAAAAACTGGGAAGACTCTGAGGAACTGCTCATTTTACCTGGGATTTCAAGCCCTGTGATACAGCCATTTGGCATACATGAGCACAATTTTGCAAGTGTCAGATATTCTGCCTGGCAGACCTATACATTCACAGCGCACACGTATTCACAGGAATGCCCTCACACTCCCTGTGCACACTCACTGGGACTGAGCAGGGCATGAGCAATGTGTCCATTACTTTCTGTACTTGCCTTATATTGCTTGAATGCTCCACAGTTATGTGAAAAACCTTGGAGTCATGTGTTTAAGTAATTCTGTGCAGCAAGGGCTTAGAAATTAAGCTCAGCTTGTACGATTTCTGTTTTCCCTGATGGCTTCGCATACATCCCTGCAGCATTAACATACTTCAATTAACAATTTTTCATTTAAAAAAGACACGGTACAGCACTGGGAACTTTTGTGTAGGTGGTGTTTGCAAGACCAAAATTGGAAAAGTTTGGCCTGTGGGATGGATCATTGCTTTAGAGGACACAGGCAGCCACCATATGCAGCAGGTGGGAATGCCTCTCCTTTTCTCCTTTTGTAAGGCAGAATGGTTTTTATTACAAAAATCAGCCTGAGATGAAGTTTCTCATTCTCCATTTTAGTCTCCAAATGATTTATTTAAAATGTAGCCAAAACAGGTTAAAAGTTTTGTTGCATTTGATTATATGTTGCTTAGTGCATGCCACTCCAAACCGAAAGGAAAAACATATTCCAAGGAACTCTTTTGTTTGTTCCAGACACTGCTGTGGCTGGGGTGCCTAAACCAGCTACCACAATGAGGCAGCTCATGGAAAAACTTTGCCAGAGTTTAAGTGATCTGGCCAGCTCAAGGCTGCAGTTATGAAGACAGCACAAGGGAATAACAGTGAGTCCAGGGAAATTCCAGTGTGTAAGGTAGGTAAACAAAAGCCAAAGAATATTAAATCTGATTTATTTTGTTTATCTGTTAGGACTTTTATAATTTGACTGTGCACAAGCTTTGCCTAGGTCTTCTTTTATAGCATCCAAATAACTCACTAGTATCAGTGCATTTCCCAGGTGGGAAAGGAACATTATCTTCAGTTTATGGAAGCGAAACTGAGATGCAGGTTGGGTAAACTAGCTCCCCAAGGCTGCCTATGAAAACTTGGGCTGGAACTTGGACTATCATCCCACTTGCTGCAAAAACTACTGAGCCATCATTCATCAGTCTGAATTTTCAGAGTATTTTCCAAACAAAAGAAACGAATGCAAACCTTGCTCTGTGATGACCAAGAGATATTGTCTTCTTAGGCAACAGATACTTGGTGGCCATAGCATACCAGTTTTTGTTGAGTAAATTTCCATGTATAATCACTGAGAAACTCTCTGTAGCAGATCTGTGGAATATTATAGTCCAGGATCAAAACCAAACCTACTGCCATTTGAAAGCGTCATATTAAGCATTAGGCTTATGTTTGTTATGTGTTACCTAAAATATTAATGAAGTATTTAATAGCTGTTAAACTAAAGCTAACAGGAGCAGTGAAGAAGATACCCGGATGTATTACCCAGAAGAGCAAGGAGGAAAATACTTCACGGAGAAATATTTCAGTAAGAGCCTAGAGGTGGTAGTTAAAAGCACTTAGAAACAAAAGAATTTAATCCAGATAGATGTACGGGGAATGTAGCATTTACCAAAAACTTGCTGATAGTGTCTCCTTCAGTCATCTCTGAACACCTGGAATCTTTTCTTCTTAACTAGGAAGGAGAAGAGTAGCAGATGTTTTTATGCTTTAAGAGTTGTTGAAGAAACTAAAAATACCTGAAAGAGATAATAAGTGTCCATAGATCCACAGAGAGAAGAAGCAGGAGTACAGGGACTAGTCATTTCCGTTTGTCAACAGGCCAAAACCTAAAGGGATTAGCCTGCAGCAAATTAGATTAAATATCAAGGAAGAATATGAATTAGTCATGAAGGGAATATTTTAGAATTAACATCATTGAGACTAAGGCTAAACTTCCTAAAGCACAGCTGGAGATGGTTTAAGGTCAGTTTAAGTCTCCCATCATAAAAAGGATAGCGCAGTTTACTAGGAACGGGCTCCTCTCAAGTTCTAGCCATGGGTCTTTTGAACCTCAGCGAGGGTTTTCTTCTCCCTTCTGGAAGGTGACTGTCTGGTCGAGTAGCCTTCTCTACTCCTTCGTATTTTAGCCCAGTAGCTGTACACTCCTTGAACGGCTTTCTCATTGGCATCTGAGGAAAAGCAGACGTCGGGAAATGTGCCGCTCTCCCTGCCTTGCTGGGGAGGAGGTGGGGATGGTCATTCACAAAAAGCACGGCACGTTCTGCAAGACGGGCGAGCGGTCCCAACTTGAGCTTCTTTAAAGCCAGGGTTTTGAAGACAAAGCTAAAGTAATACTTACTACCCCACGAGGACAGAAAGCCAGCACAGTGGCTGAGAAGTGCTACACTGACCATATCCTTTGGGAAGAGCCACGTCGGTTCTTCCCAAGCTCTGCGCTTCACCCCCGAGGTGACTATTGTTGATCTCTGCTGGCAAGGCTGCAGCCTCACCTGCTCGGCTCCTCACTGGCAGCACAACCCCCCCCTTCACTGGGCTGAGCAAAGAGAGCGCATTGCTTTCTTCGCTCCAGGGCTGCCCTGGTGGGCAAGAGGCGAGGGGCGCCCAGGCCGTCCATCCCCCCGGGGACCGCGGAGCGGTGCCGCACTCGCCGATCCCGGAGTGCCCTCTAGCGCCGAGAGCTCGCCGCGCCTCCCGCCCCGCCGGGCAGCGGCGCCCAAGATG